ATGGCAGGCGCAGAGGATAATAAGTGACTGAACGGCAAATCAAATCAGCCGACCAATAACACCAGCCCTGACTGAGTTCGCCTGCAACAGAATGGGCGCTCACCTCTGACAGAAGGCTTTTAATCAGCTGGCCTGTAGGCCATGATGCATGCAGGGCTGCAGAGAGAGAGAAGCAGGCAGATGGAAGCGGACGCGAGGAAAAAAACAGTGTTGTACCGCAAAAACATGTTTTCTGTTTCCTGCTGTCGATTCAAATTTAGCACCTCAGAAACATAAGGAGTGGAAACAAAGGGCTGTTACAGTCCTCTCTTGTTGAGATAACATTTTCTGCTAAATTACAAACAGAGATGTTCAAATTAGAAACAGGCACAGGCTCAAGTTATACAATCTCTGGCTAAATTATCAGTTAGTTCTTTCTCAACAGAGAGATGAAGAGACAAACTGGGTTGTGTTCCCAGAACGTTTGTGGCCTCAATCAATAAAACATGATTTTTGGGATCAGAAAGGAATCCAGGCGAGTCCTAGTTTGTGGAAAAACTGTGTCAAAATGAACAAAATTTCTACTTTAACGCTTCACAATATACATTTTAATTTCTGTTGATATTCTAGAAAAGTAAAGCTCTGAAATACTTCATTCTAAAGCTTAAAGTTTAAGGTCTAGAACAACTAATAAAGCTGTTGAATGAATGGGTGTTTCTCAAAGTCAAGGGTGGTTCCTTGGTTGGACGGGTCCTTCCAGGTCGGGTTGTTCAGAGGCTTGGAAAGCATTCGTGGAGTATTCATTGGAACGGTCTAGAGCTTGTGCCGGTGTGTGGAAGAAATGGACTTGTTTTCTTTTTACTTGATTTTGAATAATTCAGAACATCACACTTTGTTGAGGGGATATTGATTTTGCATTCCTCAAAACTATATACACAAATTTAAAATGTGTAGGCGTATTAAATTGTTTTTAAAAACAACAAGGATTGTTTTTACAATTATCCTGATTTATAATCCTACAAAACATATTTATGGGTGATTTAAGATGGGAAGGATTACACACATGCATCCTTGAAAATCTTCTGAACGAAGAACTCCGTCCTCGGTAGAATGCGAAGGATCCTTGAATTTGAAACAATCCTTCGGCGGGATTGGATGACGCAGCATCCTTGAAATTCAGCCAATGAAGGATCCTTCCTTCACCTTGAGAAGCACCCATCGCCCAATAGGTTCTAACCATCTTCCTGTTTCGTTAAAGCACCGAGTGTGGAGCAGAAACTAGAGACATATTTGTCTTAAGAGTCAATACCTTCCTGTGTGTGAAGTGAACAGCAAAAGGGATCCTGAATAAGGTCTGCGCCGCCCCCTACATACATTGCAACCAGCAGCATTCGGATAAATGTCGTGTCATGATGGTGAGTGCAGGAGAGTGAGGACGGAGGTGCAAGGTCAGCGTGACAGAACCAATCAACATCTGTTCCAGCAGAACGACCGATTCCAACACCTCCCCCTGCCTCACAACCAGCCCTCGACTCCCGGCGGACGTCAGGCCCGCCGCAAGGGAAACACTCACATACTCATCCATTAGTGTGTGTGTGTGTGTGTGCGTGTGTGTGTGTGTGTGTGCATATATACTATATGTCAGTGTTTTCATGGATTTCTACCTTTCTAAGGACAAATTTCACTTTTCGACCTGCTGGGTGAGGCTAGTTGTCCGTGTGAGTGTCTACAGCAAATCTGATTTTGTTTGTGTTTTAACTTGTCTGATTAAGATTAAAAAGACTTTCCATTAATTCTAGGAGACACCTTCACCTAACTGTCTGTTGTAAGTCGTTTAGTTATTAAAACATTTTAGTCATTATGGCCAAACAGACTACTGTATTACACCTCTTTGCGATCACACTTTGAGTGAATCTGTATGAATTTATCAGAAATGTAAAAACCCAAACGGTTGCCATTTGGGTTTCTACATTTATGCTTGTGTCGTACAAAAAAAATATCGAAGTTGGTTCTAATACGAAAAACTATAAAAATAGTTAGGTATTTCCACGATGGTGCACATTTAGATATTTTTTTAGGTTAGTTTTTCCACGATAGTCCCACTGAGATTTAAAATCTTTTTTCCAACGGAGATCCTGGCAAAGACTGAAGCATAAAAGTTCCACTCATTCCTAACATGCTACAACTTTGGTTTGGGTTTAGTTAAATCTATAGGACTAAAACCACATGAATATAGTTTGAGAAAAGTGACGTTCACAGTGGAATAAGTCAAGGTTTACTGCCGATAAGAGCCGGGATCTCTAGTAGCTTAGTGTGTCCAAACATTCATCCTCTGGGGAACATGAATATGCACAGCTAATGTCACAGACATTTTGTGTGTACTGGTCAAGGAGAAAGTTTGACCTGACTGTGAAAGGTCAGATGGGCTTTAAAATGATTTCAAATCATCGCCCGTCATGGAGTAATGAATAACTATTCCACATTCCCCGACACCTGAACAGCAGTAGTGGAGATCTGTCTCTTCCTCTCTCTGTCCTTCATGTTCGTACGTGAGTGTTTGCGTGTTATTTCTTGTGCGCCTGTGTGTGTGTGTGTATGTGCATGTCTATTATATCAAATATATCAGGACGGGTCATTACCAATTCTCAGGACAATTTCTCATCCTCGGCCCGTTCTGACGTCGGAAGCCACCAAGGTCACAGGACCGGACGCCGAGTGCTTCTCCTGTTACACACGAGCACGTCTGACACGGCGGCGGGATAAGATAGGCCTCGTCTACATGATTATCATATCACCTTTCAACCAGCAGATTTCTAAAGTGATTATGGTTGATATTTACACTCTTGGCCAACGTGACCCTGTTCAGTTACACAAACATCCCCCGGGTTTAATAAACAAACACATGATCAAGTTCGTCACATGGTATTGACAAGGCATGACAGAAATCCTCCCTTGGAATCTTGTGTTCCCAGTTTGATGCCCAAATGGTCTAATTTTGATTTCTTTGCTCTGATAATGCAGCATTAATGGGAAATGCATATTAGGGGAGCGATCGAAGGACAAATGACCCGTAACGAGGTGCAGGACACTCTGCAGTAAACGCTAACATCCATGTAGACCGAACGACAAGCGGACTGGTATCACGTTTCCAAATTATGTTTCCACTAAAAACTATGTGCATAACTTTAATACATTAGGTCTCAAAAAAAACATATTAATTACAAAAAATAACATGTTTGGTAACATTTTACCAAGTGAATGGTTGCATACAAGCTAACCTTTTAGCAGCAATGGACTGAACGGGCCAACTCTGTATCTGTCCTTTAACTTTTACCTGAGTGCTTACGTAACCGAGCAGCTACTGTAGTCCTTCCCATTCATCATCACTCCATTCATCAGTCCATCCACCCATCCATGTATCCGTCCTCTGCTTTAAGTCTTTATCCGTCTCCAGACCCGCTGTCCTTCTCCCTCAATCTGTCAATTTAGGCAGCCTCCATTTTCTCAACGCCGGACATTTCACCTGTATAATAATCTCAACATCAGTTAACCAGCGGAACTTCTAATTTCTCCATTCTGTCACTTCTTGAGTCCATCCGTCAGCGCACGCCCCCGTACCTGCATGACAGTCGTCCTAAAATATCACCGCTAGAGTCTACTTCAATTTAACGGATCATAAGGCTGCGGCGTGAATATTCAGTGTGTGCGGCTGCTGCCTGGAGATTCAATCCGGTGCTGCATAATTGATGGAGAGACACTGGGAAAACTCACAGATCATTAAATGTGATAGCAGATTTGCCAAACACTTTTCAGAATAGTTTATGCTCAATGTCCTGTCAGGGCGATATGTTTTGCAGAAAGACAGCTCCTGGAAACTGGAGATGATGAAGATCATGATGATGATGAAGCTTTATCTTTTTCATCCACCTAACCTGACTTACTAAGGCATTCATCATTCACTATGGCTCTACGTCCCTTGCAGAATATTTCCTTTTCTTTTTTAGTTTCTGTAGATCACAACATGTCAGACATTTAACAAAAACTGTTTTATTATTTTTTCTTACATAATTAGGGGCAAAAAATGTACATCTAAAACAATTAATTTTTTTCTGATTTAGATTATTTATCAATCTATTTGAACCAGACATTAAGTTTTAACGGTGTACAATATTGTTCAACAAGCACGGAACTTTGTTACATTTTTAAGAGTGGACCAAATGTCACAATAAAGATAATAATAACCTTTACTACACTAAATCATTTCTGAATGTTCCCTCAACAATCACAGCAAATATTTATTTCACAAACATCTGTTTACTGAGTTTAAGTAACGTATATAGTGTTTAAGTATGTGTGTTGGTCTAACCATGTTGTCCCAGTGGGTGCGAGTTCATTGGAAATAAAAAATGCTCTTGCATTCATTTTGAATAATGTCTGTGGCCCGCACTAAGCTAGACACAACTCTTATTGTAATCTACTATTGTAATAAACAGACGTGCATCTTGTATCGTGTAATTCACTGATTACTTGGATAACTTTGTCATTCCCAAAAGGAAAAGTGGTTAACAGTGTGTGCACTGTTAATACTGTTAATACTACACATACAAATTAAAAACAAAATTAAAAACACATTAAAATCTATTCGGGAGCACTTGCACAATGCAGTGAACTGCAGTGCATGTTCAAACATTGTTGTGTAAGATGTAATAAAAAAAACAAAATATATAATTAATATTGTAAATCATCATCATCATCATGTCCCATATCAGCAGCAGACTTCTCTTTCCGAGGCCACATACTGAAGCCATTAAGCAGAACAAAAACACATTTTGAAGACATTAAGTCTGAATTTGTATCTGTCAGAGCGACTCAATGTCATTTCAGTTATTTTTGTTTTCTTATTTTCCTGTTTAAGTATCTGTCTGTATGCTCTGTATGTCTGTATGCAACTCGGCCGCCATTACCCTTCATCCCCCTCACAACCAAACCCTGCGTATCCTTCCCTCCCCCGAGCCTCTAACCTGGATCTTGATTGGCCAGCTGAAGTTGGACACATAGACGTAGAAGGTGATGTTGTGGTGAAGTCTGAAGTTGAACTTCTCACACGAGAAACTGTCCCGGTGCTCCTTGATGTTGGTCCTCGCTATGATGGGCATCTCCTCCCCCGAGATGGTGCCAGCTGTGAGAGACCGAGAGTAGTTTAGGTAAAATACAGTAAAACAAAGTGTAGACAATAAGGATCCTTTAAAGGGAACAGAAACACAAAGGACTATATGGCCATCCGTCAACGAAGTTCAGTTCCCATCAGCCACTGCTTTTATAAAAGGTAAAGTAACAAACAGTTTGAAGGTGTTTGTTGTCTTCCTGCTGCAGAGAAACAACAGATCAACATCACAGCTGCTCGCAGCGTTCCTCGTTTTCAATGAGAAATGTCACCGGAGGTGCTCTCAAAGGTGAAGGATGTGAGAGTGGACACGCATTTAAAAACCTCCACCAAGGAAATGCACTGTCAGTTGTTTTTGAACCCAACCATGTTCTATGATCTGTCGACTGATGTTTATACTTATCGCTGTAGACCTCCGGTTCTATTAAACCATTGTGGACAATTTTACAAATCAATGAACGGGATTGTTAAAAGGCAATACTGGATTTACAGGAATCAATTTCAGACTAATATAAGAAAGTAGCTTGATTTTCTTTAGGTTGTTCACTGTGATGTCTCTCTGGGTTTATATTATTAGTGTTTTTTGAGATGGTCTCTCATTAACTGATGCACTGTAACTCACACATGTCCCACAAAATCAATTTGTATGTATTCCACATAATCGTGAACCAGGAAGTACAAAGTGCAACAAACTAGGGAGGAGGTGTGTGTGTGGATGGGTCCAAAAACACCAGACTTTCACACAGGAGACCGCCGTTATATATACAAGTCAATACTGATTTATTTGTCACGTAACTTTCGTACTTAAGGAACTCCTCTTCCGTAGTTATTCTAACCCAACCATGAACCTAACCAAGCATTTTTATTTTTTTTAACGAGCGAAAAATTGTCACGTGTCACTGGACATTTGTAGGAGAATGCATGAAAAATAGGGAATAACTTTTCGTAACACACTGTTTTATGAAAACACGAGACATGTCAAACCAAACAGTGAAGCCTCATCAATTATCACTTGCAGTCAACTGAGACCTGTACCAGGTCTTTCCAGCATCAGGATCTTTTGGGGATCTTGTGAAGAGACCTTGATGCAGAATCGTCTTCCACGGGAAATGTTACTATACTGCAAAGAAAGAAAACTCTGCAGCCACATGAGTCAAACGGAGACTGTGAGAGCCATTGCAAAGATATCTTTACGCAGGAAAGTGGTATAAGAGCAGGTTGAGTGAAAAAAGTCGTGCCAGTCATCTCACGCAGGCAAATTGGTTCTGATGACACCTCACAGTGATTCAGAGCGAGCTTGACAAATTTCTCTCTGCGCTGAGGTGGTCCGATTTCAGGATCCCTGGGAGCATCATCAGCAGTTCTGTGTTAATGGCCGTGTTTTTCAGTCATTGTGAATAACATTTTCCCACCCCCTGCTTTATCAGGGCTATTAAACACTCTGGAATAGTCTGCACACACACACACACACACAAGGCATACAGTCCCAAACTGGAGAGGCTCTGGGCCCCAAGACACCGAGTGGTGAAAGCAGAGTGCTTTTATCTTAATTAAAATGTATAAAACAGCCTAATGCCAAAATTCTAAAATAGCTTCTGATGTGTTTTGTCAGGAGAGGGAATCCCCGGGAGGCGAGCAGGAAGTGGATCCGACCATTTTACTTCAGGACACTTGGCCACCAATGAAAGATACTGACTGTGGGATATGTCTGCAGAAAGACGGCTAAATGACGGAGCTTCAGAGACCAAACAGATAACCACCGTATCTAATTCAAAGTAAATTACACTTTATATTACAGCTCACTTTCAGTGTCATTAGACAGAACAAATGAGAGACGATGACTAAAGACTGTTTTTCAAAGAGAATATTGCTGTTTTTGTAACGCTATGTTCTTTATGAACTTACCTGAGACAGAATTCTAGATATAACGAGTCTTTACTCTACTTAGAGTGATACAAACTAATTAATGCTAACAGAAGAGTTAAGAACATGTTTCAAAATGAGTATTGTTTTCAACGTATCCTCAAACAACGGTTTGTTTGATATCTTACCAAAAGTTACTCCTCATTTTTCATGCGTTTTACTACGAAAGTCATGCCGAACGTGTCAATTTCCTCTCGTTACACACATTCGGTCTTTTCAAAATAAACTTCTGTCTTCACAGTAAACTACTCTGTTAGGTTTCGGCAACAAAAACAACTTAGTTAGCTTTAGGAAAAGATCAGCGTTTGGGTTAAAATAACAACGGAAGTGTTATACAGTATAGCAGTGGCCACCGTACTTTTGAGACTAAGCACAGATATGTGAACATGTTCTCTACCTGTTGAGCTTAAGGACCAAGTGATGTTGAGGTTGAAGTTGTTCGAGGCATTGATGGACATGTCGAGGTTCTTGTTGGCCTGCACAAAAAGACAAAAGAAACACACGCACATGGGTTCCTGAGCTGGACGTTAAAGGCAGCACTAGTGGATAAACTGATTACTGTGATTACACTGTGAATGATGACGGCTCCAGATGCATTGAATGGAAAGCAAATTCTCGCTGTGTTTGTTTCTTGGGTTATTTATAGACTGGTGGGGTTTTGCAGTTCATGTTGTGGTCTTCCTCCGAGTATATACACTTTTACTTATTTCCCCTCCGGCTTGCCGACCTTTTGCACTTTCGTGTGTACATTCACTAAGTCCAACAGCAGAATTACTTTCTGAAACATTTTCAACTTGAGCCTCTCCATCTCCGCCTCAGCCTGTGTCACCTTGGGCATATTTGAATCTATTGGCCTATTTTTGTATCGTTCTACTGATTTTGTCTGCAATGCTGCCCCGATATTCAACTTTGAGTCGTATCTGAACACATCTTCAGGCTCTGAGAAGAAGAAAAAAACCCAGCTCGGATAAAACTCAAGAGTTTCTTGAGTCTCTCACTGTAAACAGCAGATTCCTCTGTTGTACATCGGGTTATGACGGCATGTCCTGTTTATTATTGTTAATTATTATTTACATCCTACAGTAGATGTATGAAAGTTCAACTCATAACCCCCCCTCCCGTGTGCCTTTGAGTGCATGCGTTACCTGTTCAGGTGTAGCCATGAAGTTGATGCTTGTGTAGTGGCGATCATCTTCTTGAAGAAGACTGAAGGTGAACTGGTAATCGATCAACAGGTTGTCTAGGCATTGGCAAGAGAGACAAAGACAGATGAGACACGCAGTCCGTTAGCAGTGGTTCATTACAGCTTTATTTGCATGTGTTTCAGTAGTAATAAATACTTTCTTTCTGGGGATTTCTTTCAATTTTTGGTGCCAGAATGCCGATACCAATTAAAACTTCCGCTCCTTCTCGTTTTATTGACGAAGCACGGACAGATTTATGAAAAACATGGCCCACGCTGACCGTGAGTCGATAGTCAATTAGACAAATGAGACTACAGTGGTGGAGTTTAGTTCAGAGATCTCAAGTAGTGACAAAATAAACAAGTGCAGCGTGTGTGTGCACGATGACACACACACACACACACACACACATTTGTTTTATAAATATGAACACCAACGCTTCACAATGAAGTCGCCGGTTTCTTAGACAGGCAACCGGTCCGATCAATAGAACATGAGTGAGAGTCTAAATAATCATGTTCTATGAGACGTTTAATCATTTCTGAAAGCGGCCCTCATTGAGAGTCTGGAAGCAGCTCTTTGTCAGCAAGACAATGGCCACCGTACAGAGGGGGAATCACAGTGATTCAACATCTGGACAGACAGCAGGAGCCACGCTGGGTCACCTTGTCCGCCTGACGGGGGAGAAAAGGGAATAAGAGATCGAATAGAGAAAGCAGCTATGTGGCCATGAGAGGAGAACGGGGTGAGAGGATGTTTTCAAACTTAATCATCGTGACTGCTGAGTGCTAACCCCTCAGGGTAATCCAGGTGTGTAGGTGAGTGTGAGTGAGAGAGAGAGAGAGAGAGAGAGAGATGCATCCAAGGGCAGCTCAGGCAGGCAACATTTATTCTTTTATTTACATCTCAAAGAAAATTCGATGTTCTAATCTCGGTCCTATTTCCGTAAAGCTGTGGCCATCAATCAGACCAATTATTGCAGCATTCTATTCCACTCATAGATCAAATGATGGGAGCTGTTAGACAATCACTTAAAGTGAAAATGTAGACAAACCTGCAAAAATGTCAGGACTTTTCTTTCCAATTAGACAATAAAATAAAAACAACACAAGTGGTGTTCAGCTTTTTGCCTTTGGAAATACAACCGTGTCTTTCTTATCCTGTGTTTTGTTGCAGCACTGCAACCAGCCAATCACGGCCCAGCCTGACACAAAACATCCTGTTGCTTTGTAAATTAAAAGACTGATTTGCAGTCTGTCAACCTTCGGCGCAGTTGAAGGAAATTGTGCTAAATCAGTCTTAATGATGGTACAATGACTTTACAAAACACTGCTGATTGGCATAATTCATCAGTGTGTCAGTTTGAGTCCGTTACCACACATCACTTCTCAATTACTAAGGTTTATGAAAATTGCATTTATGTTTTATATATATTTTTTAAATTTCACCTTTATTTTGCCAGGATAAATTATTGCAAGCTCATAAAATATTCTAATCAATAAATGTCTCTGTAGCTCACACATGGACACGAGGGTCCAACAACTTTAAAACTGCTTTCACCAAAAACAACGCAGATTCTAGGAATGACGTACTGAACATTGATAAGGAGGCAGTTTATGTAATATGGTCTTATTGTGGACTTTGTATTTTAAGTCTCGAGTTCGGCGTTTTTGCCATCGTCATCTAGGATTAAGGCCGTCGCCATCTTGGCCTTTTTGCAACCAGTGAACGTAAGTGACCATATTTTGAGTGCGGAGGAGTGACGTAGAGATAGCGTTTATGCCTCTGGTAGCGGTAGCAACCTGTCAATCACAAAGTAGCCCGCCCTTAAGAATACCCTGCTTTGAATGACGTGCTTATGGTCTATTTTACTCTCAATGGACCATAATTTACTAAATGAACATCATGCTGTATTGAAGAAGACTTGAAACTAGAGATTGAGACCATAAACTCATGTTTACAATGTTTACTGAGGTAATAAATCAAGAGAGAAGTAGAGTCATTTTCTCATAGACTTCTATACAACCGGAGGAGTCGCCCCCTGCTGGCCATTAGAGAGAATGCGAGTTTGAGACACTTCCACATTAGCTTCACTTTCAGTACCGGAGGTTGCCGCCTGATCCAAACTCCCTTTAGCTCCAAAGAGGAGCTGTTCAGCAGAGGACTGTGGCTGTGCTGGGCAGACAGTCAGTCTGTATCAATGTTGCTGAGAAAGAACATCAAGTGCTGCTACAGGAAATCTGTTGCTGTCTATCACTGAGTGGCAGCAGTCAGCACTGGAACAGCTTTTTCAACATACAGAGCAGAAAAAAGGACAAAAAAGAGACATGAGAGATGTTTAGTTATCACTTTTCCTTTCAGCTTCACAATCCCGGGGCTTCACCGAGACGAAAGCAAATTATGTTTGAAAAACACCCTTGTTTTGTTCAGCCTTCATGGCAAGTTAGCCCGAACAGAAGATATCATCAGATCAAAGACAATATTTCCCCCCCCCCCCTCCAACATCTCTCTTCCTCCCTCCCTCCCTCCCTCCCTCCCTCCCAGGCAGACGTGCACTGCTACTGCTCAGTTGTTTATCCCATAAGGGTCGTAAGTACAACTTCAGAGTATTTGGGGTTTTTAATACTTTGTATAAGTGATAGGATTTATCTGTGTGCATATTTGTGTGTGTGTGCACACATCCACGTCCGTGCATGCGTGTTTGCGTGGTTGTCTGAGTTCATGAGAGTGTTTACAGGTGTGCGCGACTGCATGGTTAACCAAACAAATGACAATATACAGAACAAAAGAAACCTCACACCTGTCCCTCTGCGCCTTCCCAACATGTTTGATTTCAAGGCTGTTAGAACAAGAGCACCAGCCAGGTTTAAAAGTTCATCTCAGCTAATTACAAATCCCATCTGAGAAATCTGACAGCAGTTTCACTTAGGCAAACTGAATTACACGCGTGCTTGTGAGAATTCTCCCTCTGGATGAATCGTATCAAGGTATCACTAAAGGCATTAACGATCCCCAGAAGAAGCGAAGTAGGAAGGGTCCATGGCAATTTCTCAGGTTCACAGATGGGTGATCTTATTACCATAATATGTAAGCTGATTCAGCTGATATGAAACAAAACACTGATGATGGGGAATGAGAAGGCAGAAGAGAAAGCCCTCAACCGGAACGTAATCTGATATTCCAGCAGTCTGCTTCAAATAGGAATGACAAAAAAAAAAGGCGTGAACTCACCTACAATGTCAGTTAGTCAGAATCTCTTGCTGGAGTTTCATTTAATGCTTGTTAACAACTCATTATTTCCCATTTGCAACACCTGCCTGACGGAGCGCAGGCCAGACATTACAGCTTCACCTCACTGAGAAAACAAGCTAGAACCAGGGCAGGAAACGCAAGGACAACACAGGCCTAAATGGAGGTCAAGGTAACCTGGAGGTAATGTATGCATGAGGTCAGGTGACCCCGGTTTATTAGAAACTCACCGCTCCTTCACAACGCAATTATCTACAGGGATGGCTAGTCGCAAAGTTCACAATCACCAGTTTCTCAACTGGAGACCATTTACTAATTCTAAGCACACAACGTGCCGGAATAAACATGGTAATCAATACTTTTTTAAAGGCGGTGTGGATGGTGTAATAGAGGGAGCCTTGTTACACGCACATCAGGCTGTTTAACAAAAACGGCACAGATGGAAACACCTGCACACTCATTATTCCAGTCTACAAAGTTACTAAAGGGGAAATGTTTTGATCCCAGTCGGATCTTCATCCGGTCACAAGGGTTGAAAATGGTTCCCACAGTGTGGTTGAAACATCGGATTGCTGCATTGAATATGGTGCAATTTGGACATGCGAGACGTTTAATATTAATGAATTTGAATAAACAGGCGATTTGCGCTCCGTGCAGCAGCAGCAGGGGTGGAGCTTCAGGGCTCTGCGGACTGAGTGTAGCATGTCCTCCGCAGTGAGGCTTTTACAGGCCGCTGCTCATCGACTGCACTTCCGTCTAGTTGCTGGATGTTAGATATACTGACGATAAAAGCAAACTCTTGCCTTCCCTGGAGACAACAAGCAGTGAGTGGTTCCCGACAACACTGCACGCATCCAACAACGGACATGCCCTATGAATGGCCATGCGCACAAATCATTGAAAAAGATTCAGAAGTAAAGTTCACAAAAAATTGCAATTATTTTTGTATTTTCCTGCTAAATCAGTTTCATTGGAATCCATGGTTTGATATGGAGACACATTGATCGGCCCTTTTCACAGCAGCCATTTCGACATGTGATTGCAGGGTAAACACAGGCGTAACTGATAAAAACTGATAAAGGTCTCGTTCTATGTAGTGTCGCAGCCATTACAGTGAGCCAGCATGCAAAATGCCAGGGCCCCAGCCCCCCTAAATGGAACAGGGCCATAATTCTGTTTTTCCCCAATCACACCTGTGTTTACCCTGCAATTACATGTCAAAATGGCTGTTGTGAAAAGGGCCTATTGTGTACATTTCATCTTCTTCTCGTGCGTCTTCCCAAACACTGTATTAATGCGTATCAAACTCTTACTGAAGCTTAATGAAACTGATTTAAACTTATTTATTATTTAATAGTCTGTCTAAGTAAAGGGTTACTAATGGGTTGCAAAACAAAAAAGGGTTTTGGCCTGATAGGACCAATTAATCCTCGATGGATATAGGTGTCCAGAAGGACTGCCTGTCAGCAAATATTGAGGCATCCTGGACTGATGCCAGATCGCGGCCTAATAAACGCCTTAGGCCACGAACGTTGTTGATTGCTGATCACTGCCACGCAACTACTTTGAGGTTTGAATGGGCCCCAACATTCACAAGCTTATATTTTAATTGTCTTTGATATAAATTTAGCACTATGAGAATAACATTTAATCATATTTAGTAGAAATTAGGGGAATGACAAATCAGCCCTCTCCATTTTTCTCCTATCTGATTGTGGACAACACGTCATTAATCAGTCCTGTTCCGTGCTGTTCATCCCTGATTGTCATTTTAATTGGGATTGTGAGGCTGTCAGTAAATATTGGAGCCACTGCTGTTCGGCCTGAGTGAGCTTTCCAAGCACGCCTGAGGGCAACAAGCGGCACTGACTCTGGACTGACTGGTGTTAGCTGGTAATCCAACCGACTGCTGGTCTCTCCAGTGGAAGTGGCGGGACACTCGGTGGCCGTCCCTAATTAGACGTCCCTTGTAGCTGACTGAGATGGAATATGACAGTGGTTCATTAAAGCATTGTCCTGGTGATGCTGCTCATAAAGGCCAGCCTGACTGGGGGCAAACTCATTAAACAGCAAAGTTGCTTTTCATCAATTGACTGGTGGTTAAATATGACAGCGCTAACTGAACCAAAGCGTTGCTCGCTGCACTTAATCCCCCGAGTGAGACGAGGAGCACGGCTGTCAGTAGCTGGACACTCGCACGTATCAGTCTGATGAAAACGTTTCATCAACATGGATTTCTGAGCATGTGTCATTCTGCGTTTTTGTTCATTTGCAGTATTGTACAATAAAGCCGACTGCAGCCGTCAAGTGGAGAGCTTGAATGATGAAAATGACTTAATTTTCCCCCCCTTTATTATAATCAACCAATCACAAAACAATATACCGATGCCTTTGAATGATACGTATGCTTTTTCACATGTGACCCCTTGACTTCAAACACAATGCTGCCGTAGTGTGATTGAACACATACACTACAGTAGTTCAATGAGTCTGTTTATGACTGACTTTCAAACAGCACCGCTATAGAAATGGGTAAGAAAAGGAAAGAGGAGAGTAGACTACTAAACACGTCTGATTCAGAGCAGATGTCAAGGGGGCCAGACTTATGATATCCAGTTCCAACACTGAGTGGTTGTTTGGTTTAGATAATGGTCTTCTATTCACCTAGCAAGTGCTTAACCTCTGTTGCTGGTCTTTTGGTTGCCTGTAAGAGTTTTGTGTCACGGCTGCTGCTTTCTAAAGCCGACAACTTGCAGTTACTGCCACAAGGATGGAAGCAATCCAGCCTGGTGTACTCTCTGGCAGTAGTGAAATATCACTTCACAGAGACTAACAATATACATTGATTATAGCTGTCACTTAAAGGACGGAGCTCACAAAGGTTGGCTGAACCTGCACCTCCTCCCAAATCCAGAGAGTCTACAGAGCATTCATCATAACAAGTTCCACACATGTGGCCACATCCTTCAACAGACGGCGCTTTACGAAGGCGTCCCCTTTGGTGGACTACAGGTTAGAAGGCTGAACCTGTACCAACCCGAGTTCCTGCCCTTAAAGTGACCTCCTGTAAAGTGAAGCAATGTTTGCTCTTCAGCCTGTGCTGCAGGTTGCCCACAGAATCAATTTCCAGTCTCCCTTTTTGGATTGTTCCAATTGAAAACCATGACTGAGATGGGTTTGTCTCTCTTTAAACCAATATGTCAATTATTTCTATGACAAGAGTTGTATTAATTAGGTGACAAATCTGTCAGTACACTATGAGAGGTCTTCCCTCATCACATTGTAGGAGTCTGCTCTCTCTACTGGCCTTAATTGTTGATGTTTACCTTTTTATTTTTTCTTCTTCATCATGCAACAACATCCTCAGATTTATCGTGCAGCCCCTTTGCAGCCAAGTAAAAACACAAACAAGTGTAAAAGACTTCAAGGATCCAAAGGGATACTAAGGGCGGCAAAGCATCCAGTAAACTGATACGTCTGAACAGTTCTCTGCTGGAGCCGTTGTAGTGGAACAGACGGACAGACCCATGTTAGTTCCAGACGCAAGAGATCCCTAAAACACGGGACACAGCTTATTGACACACTTTTTTTGGGAATATGATTTTGCATGAAGACCACCCTGGACTATCCTAAGGCTAATACTGACAACACTGTCTCCTCACATTCCAGTTAATCTCTCTGCTGTCAGCTGTTGGACAACTTTTCACCATCTCCTCACATCATAAGAAATCCACAGGTGGTGCAGATTTCTCAAACTTCTGCTCTAAATCCGTCACAATCCCCCAGCCGGGACGGTGCTGCCACTCGTAAACTCTGCATGTAATTTCTCATGACAGAGATAAAGCTTCTTTTATCAGCACCTTCCTTCCAATGACAGTTAAGGCTAATATTGACCTGGCTGCTTTTCCTTAGAGTCCAAGGGAAATGGATGGCTTTTAAATCTGTGATTTATACACACCATCTCTCTGCATGTGTGTGTGTGTGAGAGAGGGTGTTGTGTGCATTCATGTGTGTGCGTCCGAGTGTGCTTGCCCTTGTTCAAACAAAACTAACCCCGTTTCATAGACGACAGAAAAGATAATGTCACATTAATGACAGAACATAATGTCTCCAAATGCATCTGGAAACACCGCTTCAGCTGCAGCCATGGAGATATCGAGGAGCCGAGCACCTACAGACTTTGGGAGCCATTAAAAGCTGTGTTTGAGTGTTTCTATGCATTTAGATTATCTAAAGCCCTTCACAATACTGGGCAACGGCATCGCATTAGTGCCATCTAGTGCCTCCAAACCTCAGTCCTGAATCCAGCAGACAATAACACCATGCCATCGATGGACTTCAAAATAAAAATGAAACTTTAGATGGCAGCAAAGGTTCAAACTGTCATTTACAGGAAGTAACGGCGGATCTTCTTTACGGCATTATTGTGATCTATTTGTGAAAGGGGCTCCTGTAGCGTCCGGTCTTCTGAGCTCTGCAGGAGCTTGCTGATCACGTTGAAGGTGCAGGTACGAGTTTTGATCGTCTGTTCATTGGTTTAAGCGGCGCTGGGGTTTGCGCTGGCTGAATTCAAGCTAACTGCTAACTGAAGGTCCGGGACCCAAAGCTGTTACTGCTCTCCTTCTGCCCACGGAGAAGTCGTTTTCTGGCGCCGTGGAGGACCAAACGATAGTAGGAGTCATTTTCTCGTTTCTACTACTTTAGATTTAATCCAAAAAACAAACTATTAAAGCGCACACAGACCGTACAGCCCCAGGTTATAGTGTGCCCCCTATTCATTTGGAGCAGGTGGCCAGATATTACACACTGCACCTTTAAATGACCGCTGAGCCTCCTTAACGAGCATACTCATCTAAACTAAATGTCTGATTCTGTGTCTTAAAAGGAAGATAAATGACATTTTAAGATAAAAGCTTGGCAGCAATGAAGGTGAACCCATGTGCCCGTCTTCAATCACATTCTTGAACAGAAGTTGTTTTTGTGATCAAAGACATATTTGAGGTGACCGGTGCAATCTGTGGCATGACTCCTCTGATTGCTGTATCCTTTCGAGCCTCCCTCACTGAAACAATGATAGGCCCACTCAGGCTAGAGGGCTATTGACATTGACAGCACTTGAACTTTATTCTACTGGGTTATAATATTAAAACTGATGATGGCAATTCGTAGACTGAATGTGTGTGTGTGTGTGGTGTGTGTGTGAGAGAGATGCAGAGTGAGGGAGCATGTGCTTGTGTGCCACAAAACATCTGTTTTGACTACAGCATACCTCCTCCGTCTGCCCTTTAAAAGGAAAACCAGCAATTTGTTGCAAATGAGCTAAGTCAATGTCATCCCTGCGAGCATCTGGAAACAGAAAAACAAAGTCCTGGACGGAAAAACACTTTCTCTCTGTTTGCATCCCCCTCCCCCCTCTCTCTCGTCGCGCACCTGAATAGGTGATAGTAATGGAAAACCTACTAAAACCTATTTATTTGTACGCTTAAACCTGTTTTGTTCACATTTGACTGATAAATGACCTTTAGTGGTCTTGCAAAGTGTCTCCAAGGTCTACAACGAATCTCTGGTCATGGTTACTTGGAGCTGAGCATCAGCTCTGCTCCATTTCAACACAAGAAGGCTAGCGGGGTTAACAGCTGCTTTCTGGCTACCTTACTTGTTTGGGTACAAAGATGATATTCGCAGGACACAGATTGACATTGTACACAGAAACAGACTTCAGCTCTAAGCCTGTGTGTGTGTGTGGGGGGGGGGGGGGAGCTGAGGGAGACTCGGGTGTAGTGGCAGCAGGATACTTACAATAGCATGTTCCCCGGAGAGGGTTGCCAAGGTAACGGTTCTCTGAGTCACATCTGGAACGACACAGGAAACAAGAGACAGGCAGAGAAGAAGAAGAAGAAGAAGAAGAAGAGAGAGAAAGAACAAAGGCATTAACATTCGATAAGGGTTTCATTTTTACAAAGACACATTTTTCTGTTACAGTGTGTGTGGTTGCAGGTAGTGTCTTCCCCCAGCTCTTTGAGCTGCTCTCTTTTTCCCCAGGGTGCCCACACACACACACACACACACACACACACACACACACACACACACACACACACACGAGAGGGAGAGAACATCTAGCCTCTTTAAGTGCTCGGCTCAAAAACAGATCCCCTTCATCTGCAGAAGCGTCAGAGGATCTCCTGCTTAAACATCTGGCTAAATAATGTTGATGAATTGTACGCAGTGGAAAACTCCACTGGAAATCCATTTATTGGGGATCAAATACTCTCTCACTGTTGGCCTGAACAGTGTCAGTGAAAAGTTTAAAGCTGCTCCTTCATGGAGGATAGCAGCTGTATTGATCTTGGCCTCAGAGCTGTAACAGTGGAGACACTGTCGTGGCAAAATAAATGTATGAAAAACTGCCGACTGTATAAACTCCTCAAATCACGCCTGAAGCATAATCCACTTCTCCAATGTGTATCCATGCTCAGTATGTTCCAGAATAACCACTGCTTTGTCAATATATCGCTGAATATGAGACTTGCGTGGAGCTTCGGAGCTATACGCATAATGTGTGACACCACATTTGTAAAATTAACTTTATGTTTGCCACTTTTCAAGACTAAAGAGACAGAAGTTCAGTGCAGTTTTCCTTCATGGCAGCTACTGTAGCTTTTTAAATCAAAGTCAAAAGGTTTGTTTTGTATTCATCTATTTCATTCAGATGTTTATTTCTCTTTGGATTGACAATCACTGCCAGTTCGTGGAAAACAAAATGCAAAACAGACCTGAAATACTTGTGATAACGGCAAGAGCAAAACACCATTAACCACTTCCATTTTGGACAATTTGTCCCAGAAAAAAATGATTGTAAAAACAAATAGCAAATGTTTATCGTAAGAATCTACTCACTTGTTTCATTTTGACATTTCAGCCATTTGTCTGTTAATCACTGTGACCAGATAGAGGAGGACTATGTGTTGCTGATGGACAGTATTTGGCTGTTGTTGAAAGTTGTGACCTTTATGTTAAGTGGAATCCTCTAATGACCAGAAAGCTCCGCCGCAATACAATTAGGTAAATGTATATATACGTACACATATATTTCGAGATTTATATAGATTTTTCCAGCAGAAATGAATTTTTCGTGGTGCAGAAACACAGGGGCTCTTAAAGATAGTGTAAATGTTAACACTCAGCAAAAGCAATTAAAGACAAAATATCAGGGTTAAAGGTATTTTCTTGAGTTATCATGAAGAAATGATGTACGTGCTCCGGAGGCCATTAAAGTGTCAAGATGGACGACGTGCACCTGAAGTACTGATAGGAAAATGATTACCTGGCAACGGAACAAAAGCCAGTTATTAAACTTCCACTGCCAAGAAATGTTGGAAAAAAATGTGCTAAGAGAACCAAATGCGAATGTGATTATAATGTCAATGCTTTTAAAACGTCTTTAAAGAGCGTTTGCATCGCCCCGATGGAGTGGTATACATCTGTTGTTCATTATTGTGTGTGTGTGTGTGTGTGTGTGTGTGTGTGTGTGTGTGTGAGAGAGAGTGACTCTACATGACATTAATCTGGAAGGCTTTAAAAAGAAATACAAAAAGAAGTGTTTATGGATATTGCAACCGCTAAAGTTCTGCATCGTGGCCATTTAGAAAAAAAGAAATCCCATCGCTTATCAAACCCATATGCAGATATTTCACAAGCTTTACTAGAAAAGCAACTCATCCAAAGCACCCACTGTGTAACACAGGAGGGGCTGGAGGATTGAGAGGGAGAGAAAGAGAGAGCATGAAACAGGAGAAGATGGACAGGAAAACAGAGGAATAAATGAACAAGAACTAGAGGGCAGGTGAGGTTTACAGCCGAGTGTTTGTGAATTCGCTTGTAGCGCTGCAGCAGGTCACAGAGCAGCGCCGGATACTGAATATTTCATCCTTCTCTAAACCCCCGGCCAAGGACGAGGCCCTAAACCACGACCGCCTCTCTGAGCTTCCATCCTGAATCAGGAGTTTAAGGACGACAATAAAACAGATACAGAAGCAGAACCATACTTTTAGTATAATGGTGGCGCGTGAATCAGTTTAAGAGGCCACTTGACGTCTCGACCAATGTGTTCCAAGTAACTGAGATTTCTGCTGAACTACAGAATGGCCCTTCGCAAGAAGCTGAATGCGCTCATATTATATTTTATCTTGGCAGCACTCGTTGATTCATTGTCTTGCGGTCTCGACGCAGAATTACTTACTGGGTGTCATCTGCATGAAAGAAACAAGGAGAGAAGGAAAGAATAGTAGGACTTAAGAGGAGGTGAAAGAGGCTTATGAAACAAAAGGTTTTGGGATCCAGAGAGGACAGTCGGACGGTGAGCAGCGTCATCTCAAGAACACTCTGTGACTTCAAAAGCTTTGGAGTCGCCTCCGGCCGAGACTATTTTAGCAACAACAAGATTTATTGTGATGAATGTGATTGTCATGAATTGCATTGGGCCCTCGTTGGAGCCAAATATGAACTATGAAATACTTCTATCAGATATGTGAATCAATGAACGGATTTCTTTTTTTTTTTTTACTTGCAGTCACAATGTGCAAATAATACACAAACATTTGCTCTCTCTCCCCCAGAGGAGGCTAGACATCAGCTTTGGCTACTGAGGAAGCTAATAGGGATTTAGTGTTGTTTAGCAGGCTGGAGGCTAGCTGACTCTGCTGATAATAAAACGTGCTCGTGTAGGTTAAACAATCATGACTGCATGACGTGGCTTTGCAACATTTTTACACTCATTTCAAACAAATACTCTGCAGAACCAGACACACAGAGACCGATCGCACTTCAAAGTTACTTTTCACAACAGAAAGTGTCCTTATCTACAAATACCGATGTTTCCAACATCTCCAACTGTAGCACAGAATTGATAAATACTGTAAATGCAAAATACATGTTACGTACTCTCCAGCCAGGTAACCAAAGTAAGCGACCCTGACTTTTCTGAACTAAAAAGCTAGTTAGCTTCTGGTAGCGGCTGACTGTGCCCTGATGCTGACACTGACCAAACATTACATTCACGTATGTGTTCAGAGAAGAAGGATAAGCAGACCTGCAGGCTAAGTAAGGGGCGAGGACAAGACATCTTCTCTCTTGGGGGACACTAAAGATCTGGACGCAGAGCTTCAACAAAGAGGGGACGCACACTTAAGCTGCTTACAACAGCCTAATGGGGACGAGTTAAGGGCCACAGAGGACTGGGCTGCCTCATCACTTAAAACACACTCTGACTCAGCTACACACACACAGACGTACACGAGTGACAAATATTTTTGCTCCGCTTGCTGTTCCTGTAAACCCTCTGCCTCGATAAACAAAATGGAGATTAAAGGTCACAGTGATATTGGCCCTGCTTGCGTGCGTGCGTGCGTGCAACTGTTAAGAGTTTTATAGGCATGAAAAATTAATCAATGCGCAGTTTGTCAATCACAAAACCACATACCGCATCAGGCTCTGTTTAGCAACCCTGAAAATGACAAACATGCATACGCACAAAGACACACAAACACTCCCAAGTATACAGTTAAAGATGCAAATTAGCAGGCAATTAGCGGAGTTCTCTACATTTGGAGAGGAGGCCAATTAAAGCTAAATCAACACAATCAAAGTCAGTCAGACAATGCAACAGGAGAGAAAGTGCTCAGACTCGCACAGTGAAAATAAAAGTCTCATGTATGTTGGACTTTAAATAGATTGTTCGTACATGTTGTAAAACTGTGACCACACATAAACAGCTGGAGGACATCTGGTGAGCAGCCGAGTGCTGATACCAGCAGCTCAGGTAGACACCCTATTCCAGCAATCCTGACCTGCCACATTCATGCTCCGAGCTGCCTGTAACAGCTGTGGGTGTCAAAGTGCATATATACTGTATATAAGATGCATGTCACAATGCAATTATGACTGAAAATATTTTGAGGCATTGCCGGAGCAGCAGGTCTGACAAACAGAGAGAGAAACACATTTTCTGTTTAATATGAATGAAATAAAGTATGAAAGTCAGACACACAAATGCAGAAGAAGAGACAATATAACCATTAACATAGACGTGTAAGGATGTAAGCACGCAAAAAAAGGCAAAAAAAAAAATGCTTCACAGCCTCTTTATTTCTGACTCTAGAACAACACACGCTCTGAAATACGCATCCACACACCTGATGTAACCTGGGGACACTTAGCGTCCGCCTCCGGGGGGGGAATTGCTCGTTCATAATCAAAACGGCAAACAAATGGCCCTCGACTTGGCACACCATTTTGGAGTGACTCAAGCAAAACAAACAGCGCCGTGACAGAGAGACATTTAGAGAGACAGAGGTGGGGGGGGGG